ACCACTACACCAAACTGGCTCTTATAAACCTCTATCCTCTTCCCCCTTAGTCGTCTCTTTTCTAAACTGAAAAAGTCCTAGACTCTTCAGCCTTTCCCCGTAGGTTCCCCACAGGAACAGATGCTGTCAGCGCCAGGAAGGAGAGTCATTATTTCCTTGCAAGTGTTCAGTGGATAGGAAAGTTTTGCCCCCAATGGGCAAGCACCTTCTTTTACTTCTCCCCATAAGAATGAATGATGGCTGATGGGAATGCCGCGAGATGAAGACTCAGCCTACTCCCTGACTCTGACAACCTCAGCTGTTGAGTATCAAAGCAGTGGTTACCTCCATAATCCCACCTCTTCATCCTCGTGGCTTCATTGGGGTTCTGTTCTTTTACCTCTCCCCATAAGAACGAATGATGGCTGATGGGAACGCCGCGAGATGAAGACTCAGCCTACTCCCTGACTCGGACAACCTCAGCTGTTGAGTATCAGAGCAGTGGCTACCTCCATAATCCCACCTCTTCAACCTCGTGGCTTCATTGGGGTTCTGTTCCATGATAACGTAAGCAATGCTGGGAACTGATTCTGCACACGGAGTGACGAAAAACATGTGGTTCAATTGGTCCATCGTGTAAACACACTTTGCCTGTCGTGTTTGGGAAGAATCCTCCTGGTTTGGACTGTGAAATTATTGCATACTATAAATCCCGTTGACTCCAATTTGGTATTCGTGCATTATGCAGGAGGCGGAAGAGAAATGGCAAGCTATTAAGATTATCTTCAAAGCTCTTTAAAGCCACCTCTCCCAAGATCTAACAGGAAAGGATCTGAAGTTGGGATTCTTATTAAGATGGCCAGTCATCCGAAGAAGAAAACATAGATGCTCTCGACGGATCTGCTTTGGTTAAACTTTTTGAATCTGCAGTGTTTAAAAAAAAACCCTTGATATCCTTAATAAGTGGAGCTGCGGTGGCTCAAGTGGTTAAGACGCTGAACTGCAGGCTGTGGAAGGTCGGTAGTTCAGCAGTTCGAGACCCGGGTGCCGCAAGATGGAGTGAGCTCCCGTCTCTGGTTCCAGCTCCTGCCAACCTAGCAGTTCGAAAGCAAGAAATTGCAAGTAGATAAATAGGTACCACTTTGGTGGGAAGGGAACAGCGTTCCGTGCGCCTTGGTGTTTAGTCATGCCGGCCACATGACCACGGAAACGTCTTCGGACAGCGCTGGCTCTTCGGCTTGGAAACGGAGATGAGCACCGCAACCCTAGAGTCGGACTCGACTGGCTTTCGAGCAAGGGAACCTTTACCTTTTTATCCTTAATAAGTAACTTGATGCCAGACAAAGTGTTTTCAAAGCTTTTCTTTATTTATACTTGGGCTTTTAGCATTGCACTTTTGTGCAGTAATCTCTCCTGGAAGGCAAGTTCTTACGTCAGACTGAGAATACAATAAGGTCTAAAACCATCCTTACACCAACAAAACCAAACAATCACATTCAAACAAACCCCTTTAGCTAACTTCTGCCTAAACACTTGAAAACGACACGCCATAAATCAATGCTCTCGGCTAATTCTCCTGCTTTGTACAAGGCTTTAAGGTTGTGATCTGTATTCGGAAAGTTTGGAACGCGGGTCTCGACTGTAAAGTGTTTCTGTGCACACGATACATATCAGGTGCACAAATTTATATAAAACTGTTTGAAATACAAAAATATGGTTATCACAAGAGTACCAAACAGCACAGGATTAGAACAATTATTTACCATTAATACCAGATTTATGTACAACGTCTCCAATAGCGATAAGCTGTAGTGTACACCCGGAAACTTGCCCTTCAGATTCAATGCGCAGCAAACCCAGTTTCAGTCTTCAGAACAAGAGATACGCAGGATGTCCCAACCCATGCCTTTTTCCAACAGAAGTTATTATAAATAAGTTTCGCAAGCTGTACGAATGTTTTTATTGCACATTGCACAGAACGTATGCCAATGTCCAGGGTTAGAAAAAGAAACGAAAAGGAAAAGATTCGATCCCTTCATTTGACAGACATGTCGTTAAAAATCACTTGCACTCGGTTCCCCCCCCGTGCAAGCAGTTTGGACATTCAACATTGAAAGGGGAATTTTAAATGGACGGGGGAACCCTACATAAAACAAAAGACATGCCTTGGGCAACGTGGCTACGGTAACCTTCTAAAATACATGTTGTCTGCCTAATGGACCCCTACGGCTTTCCTACACTCGAAAAGGCATTAAAAGCTGACAATTAAAACGGCTGCTGCAAAACTCCGGTTTCTTCGATGCAAATAAAACAAAAGCATACGCAAGCCGCTGCGTATGCAGTCATACATTCCTTCTGCTGTGCAGAACCAAGGGTTTCCTGCCCTGGACACCATTAAAGATCCCATTACAGAGCAGCTCTGTGCTGTTTGCAATTAGCGGGGTAACAGCTTCTCTCGGAGAATTTTGCCAGAGCCACTAATCCTGGCTCTCCATTAACCCTTCGGACTGAGCTTTGCCCCAGAACAGAACAAGGAGGAAACAGAGGCAATGAGCACCTTCCCGGCGCAGCCTGCATAGCCAGAGGGGCAGGATTCCAGCTTAAGGAGTATGAAGAACGGGGCTGTAAGGTATATGGGCCTGTAATAAGCAGCAATAAAAAGTGAGGAATAAATAAAAAACATTACAAGTACGAGAAGACATTTGGCCTGCCTATAATACGCGGTCAGCGGACGAAGCCCGCATATGGACCTTAGAGATTATCATACTAAAAAGATCTGTGTGTCGATAACTTAGTTGCACCTTTCGGCAAGGGTCTCCCACAGCTATTTGCAGAACACCCCTCCCGGTCCCACCAAGACTCCCCCCTCCCCCCATAACTGCTAAAATTGCACCGTTACAAAGAACAGCTCCACGTAAGGTAGGAGAAAACACAAGAGAATTAAGGCACAGCGACTTCAAGAAGTCGGTTGTTTTTTCGCTTGCAAGTTGGGACGTTGCCATTCTTCTGGTTCCCCTGCACGAACTTCACGCACACTTTGTCCTGTCTGAACTGAACGAGGAACCTTGAAGAGAATGATAAAAACAGGTTTCGGTTAGAGATGTACAGTGCAGTTGAACAAGTCGATCTTTGTACCGCTCGTTGTTCACGTGTTCTCTGAAACAGCAAAAGATATTATCACTTCCCCTATCCTTTCCATGAAGAAGAAGAGATTGGATTTATACCCCGCCCTTCACTACCCGAAGGAGTCTCAGAGCGGCTTACAAACTCCTTTCCCTTCCTCTCCTCACGACAGACACCCTGTGAGGGAGGTAGGGCTGAGAGAGCTCTGACAGAAACTGCTCTTTTTCAAGGACAGCTCTTATCAGAACTATGGCTTGCCCAAGGTCATCCAGCCAGGTACAAGTGGAGGAGTGGGGTCCCCAGTCCACTGCTGGCCTGCTGGCCGGTGGGGAGCCCTGTCCCCCGAAGAGCCCCGTCACGACCAACATGCTCGGTACAATGATGTCACCTGCCAGAAGATCTAGGAACCCGGGCTGGCGCCCCCCACCGGCAGCTAGTTAAGACCTGGCCACCCTACTGGCAGAGGAGGTGGTTGGTTTTGTTGGAAGCTGAGAGTCTGTTCGTCTGGGCTAATACACACACGTTTGCCTTATCTTACGTTTGTGACTGTATTGTATTTTCCCTGCCTGGAGGCATTTTTCTGTTAGCTACCTTGAGTCCCTGAAGAAAGTCAGCATGCAAATACTTTAAGGAATAAATGCAGCTGAGACTCAGGGGCCGATTCATATGGGACTGCGGAGACACAGGAAAAAGCGTCTAGCCTCTGGTGAGTAACCCAACTCCATGTAGCTGCCAGCGTACGTAAGATTCATAACTTAAGAATGTAAGATTGAGCACTGCTGGATCAGACCAAAAGTCAATCTCGTCCAGCATCCTGCTGCCTCATTCCCCTCGCTTATTACTTCCCACCAACTGGTATCCAGAAGCCTATTGCCTCTGAACTGGAAGGTTTCATTTAGGTATCGCGGGAAACCAGCTATTAAGAGATTATGCAAGTGGTGGTCACCCCCCGAACACGCATCACTTGCACAAGTGGCGGTTGTCCCCTTATCTCGCAGCACTCAAACAAGCTGCAGGCATCCCCCTAGCACACTTCACTCACACAAGCGGCAGTCACCCCCCCTATCTCATGTCACTTGCACAGGTGGCAGTTGCCCCCTTCTCTCACACCACTTGCAAAAGTGGCGCTTGTCCCTTCTCGTGTCACACGCACAAGTGGTGGGCATCCCCCTAATGCTCGTCACTTGTACAAGTGGCATTTGTCCCCTTATCTCACACAAGCAGCAGTCGTCCCCTTATCTCACATCACTCACACAAGTGACGGGCATCCTCCTCATGCACGTCACACAAGTGACAGTCATCTCCCTATCTCGCATCTCTTGCACAAGTGGCAGTTGTCCCCTTATCACGCACCACTTGCACAAGCAGCAGTCGTCCCCCTATCTCATGTCACTCGCATAGGCGGTGGGCATCCCTCTATCCTGCATTGCTGAATTCCCACAACTTAAATGATACATTGTGTGAACTGCCACCCCCCTTTTGTATGTCCTCGAAAGAACGATTCACCCACCGATATTAGTGAGAGAATGAAAACAACAAAATTCCTCCAACTGGTTTTGGATTGCCGCTACAAGGGCTATGTCTACACCCTGGGCTGGTTCACTCTTGCCTAGGCAACCTGGTGGGCTGAACTCAGTGCAGACACCTGATCGACGTGGCCCGCTGCAGCCCAGAACTCCTAAGGTCCATTGACCCACCAGCCTTAGCCTCACTAGCATCCGGGGTTACAGACCTGTGCCTGGTTTTGGATTGTTACCACAAGGGCTCAAAAAGCAGTACTTTCAACCATGTGCTAAGAACTGCATTGCTTGCGTGGTGGCAGCGGCACATGACTGACATTGCAGTCCTCCCTTGCATGCACATCTCTCTGTATACGTGGGGAGCACCATGCATGGAGAAAAAGGACGAGGAGACCTGAGCTCACACATTTATTGCACTGCCCTATAGCATTTTAGTTTCCTTTAAAAAAATAATTAATTAAACACACGCACACATCTGTATTTCCCTGTATTATCTCTAGACGTATTCGGCGAGAGCGAGAAAGCGTACTTGCAGACACTAGTTCTGGAATCAATACAAACACTGACTTTACTTTACAGATTGGATCAATATGGCGTGCAGGAAACTCTACCGCTGGCTGAAACAGTCAGAAAATTCGTTTCAGTTGTGGCCTGAGCCTCCAGCACATTTAGTACAAAGATAACTTCCCCCTTCTTTCCATTTGAGAAAAAGAAATCAATGTAAGAAAAGCGGAGTCTTTATTCAGTGATGCGCTACTGGGAAACTGTTTGATTTTCTTGTCCGGGCACGAATTCATTTGCCTACTGGCTGGAATGCTGTGCTTAAGGTTCCGCTGAAAGTGACAGAAGAGGTCTGTGATCATAACCTTCTTTGCTTTTTAAAGCTAGATGGCCCAGGCAACCACAATCTCGTGAGATCTTGGAAGCTAAGTGGGGTCAGTAGAAGAAGAAGAAGAGAAGGGATTGGATTTATATCCCGCCCTTCACTACCCAAAGGTGTCTCAGAGCAGCTTACAAACACCTTTCCTTTCCCTTCCGCACAACAGACACCCTGTGAGGTCGGTGGGGCTGAGAGAGCTCTTGACAGAAATGGCTCTTTATCAAGAACAGCTCTTATCAGAACTACGGCTTGCCCCAGGTCATCCAGCAGCTGCGAGTGGAGGAGTGGGGAATCAAACCCGGCTCTCCCAGATTAGATTCCGCACACTTAACCACGACACCAAACTGGCATGTACTTAATTTTCTCCTACTGGGGGAAGAATGGGTTTTAGCATGCTTAATTTACAACTATGTGCTGGGGAATATGGGAAATGTTCCTTGCACACGGTACAATTATGTTTTGGGTTTTTCCTCAACAATGTGAAGGATTTCTATTCTTTAAAAATATTAAAAGTTCTGAACGCTTTTCATGCTAAGCTGCATAAAGGGGAACATTCCAACGGATTCTCCGTTCGGTAGCTCTAACGGACAGATGGATCCAAAAACCTAAGAGAGGACAACTACTCGGTAGAACTTCCCACATGATGACGAGATATGGCCAACTTGGCAACTATATTAATTATGGTCCTTCAGGGCTTAACACATTCAATTGTCTTGAAATCCTCAAGAATTATACGAGTGAAATGTATTTCCATTGTCCTTTTTTATTATGTGAAGTTCAGTTCTGAGCCAGCTTATCACCGATTTATGATGTGAAGTTCAGTTCTGAGCCAGCTTATCACCGATTCTCTCACAGATTGCTGATGTCAGTTTCCATCAGTCTTCGGGAGCTCTAATACAGTTGCTGAGTCTTTCCATTTCCTAGCAGATATGCAAAATTTCCCCACTCCTCACCTGCAGCAGTGAATTTCCATGCGTTAATCACTCTTTGAGCGAAGAAGGACTTCCTTTTATCTGTTCTAAGCCTACTGCTCCTTAATGTCATTGAGTGCCCACAAAAAAGTGCTGCTTTCTCTAGCTTTTCTATCCCGTGCATAATTTTGCAAACCTCTATCGATAGATTCTTTTGAACTATGGTGCTGGAGGAGACTCTTGAGAGTCCCTTGGACTGCAAGAAGAACAAGTCAGTCAATCCTAAAAGAATATCAACCCTGACTGTTCCCTGGAAGGCCAGATAATGAAACTGAAGCTCAAATACTTTGGCCACCAAATGAGAAGGGAGCACTCACTGGAGAAGACCCTGATGCTGGGAAAGATTGAAGGTCAAAGAAGACGGGGACGGCAAAGGATGAGATGGTTAGACAGTGTCATCGATGCAACGAACATGAAGTTGAGCAAACTTCAGAGGACGGCGGAAGACCGGAAGGCCTGGCGGGAGCTGGTCCATGGGGTCGCGAAGAGTTGGACTCGACTGTGCGACTGAACAACAACAATCGTGTCGCCCCCCTGAGTCGTTGCTTCTCCAAGCTATAAAGCCCTAACCTCTTTAACCTTCCTTTATAGGGAAGGTGTTCCATCGTCTTCATCGTTTCAGTTGCCAGAAGTACTTGAACTCACCCCTTTGGATGCCAAGTGCATCAAGAACTGAAAGGCAATAAATCAAATGGGCTTTTTATCGTATTACGGAAACCCTCGGCTACTCCTCCAAAGGAACGCCGACACGGAC